TAATTTTTTTTTTTTTTTGGTACAGGGACCTTCCGGTTTCTGGATCTACAGGGGTGCGACTAATCCGGAATCGAGTTGGGTAGGACCACAAGAGCGGCAAAGCTCTCCCTCAAGAGTTTTAATACTGCTGCATTTCCAGGGCTCGAACTCGAGACCACTAGTTAAGCTGGAAGATGTTGGTTCATCATCAGCCAACTCACAGCCAGAGGTGGGACCCACTTTGGATCTCTCCTAGTGGAAATATAGCTATATAAAATGAACCTCCAATTTCCACAGCAATGAATATGAATCACTCATTGTCTAATCCTTCTAAACAAAATTAGTTTTTAGTGAAAATTTAAACAGCAAAAAGGAAAAAAGTACAGAAAAAAAAAGGCACAATATTTCAACTCAGCAGAGAAAGAAGACAAAGGGCACTGTTTGAATCTCTGGAAGCTTATAGAGCTGTGCTCATATTTGTGTGATTTTGATCGATACCTTAACAAAGGTATATCCTTTTTCTCTCTTTTTCTTTTCATAGTTATTTTTCTTTCTTTTTTAATTAATTTTCTGCTCTTTCTTTGTTCATTTTAAGCTGTTGCCCGGCACATTCCTCCTGTTTGTTAGATTAACGTTATAAAAATCGAATCTTTCGTGTAAGAAGAGATGGGTTCATAGTCTAGTTGACTTTTTACAGAGCAAGCCTTAGCGGATTATGCGGATTTGTGTGTGTGTGTGTGTGTGTGTGTGTGTGTGTGGCTGTATGTGTTTTGAGCTCTGGTAGGCGCTGTTAGCATATTTCATGGCATTCAGTGTGTTTTTTCTTTTATATTTTTTTTGTGTTTCAAGAAAAAGTATTTTATGCAGCTAACCCCATCAATTGGTCTTGTCCATGTCCAAGAACTGAGAGCGGCTCTGCAAATTGAGAAGAAGAAAAGGGTTGCCTTGCAATTTTCATCCAGAATTGTTATTAAGTTCCTTCCAGTAATCAAAGGTTACGGTCCACGGATAGGAACAATCTCTAACAAGCTATAATATATCAGCATGTCTTTTGCTTTCTTGCGAGTTGTTTCTCCCACATCGGACTTCTCGAACAGCTCCGGAATCCTCGAGCCACTACGAGAAAAAAACCGGTCTTTTCTGAGGCCCGAAACCTTGGCCTGCCATGGCAGGCCAAGCAAGAGCCAGCAGAGGAAAAACAGGAAGTATTTTAGTACCACACATGTTGATTTGAGGCACTCTAGCTTGGGAAGCTCGAGCTTAGATAATGGAAGTAGATTATCTCCACCGTCGAGTATGGCCGCAATCCCTGCTGCTGAAATCACTTTAACATCTGAGCAAAAAGTTTATGATGTTGTCTTAAGGCAGGCGGCTTTGGTTAAGAGGCAGTTGGAGTCGAAGGAGGATTTGGAGGTGAAGCCTGATATTGTTCTTCCGGGAACCCTTAGCTTGTTGAGCGAAGCTTATGATCGTTGTGGGGAAGTATGCGAGGAGTATGCTAAGACGTTTTATCTCGGTTAGAACTCTACTTACTCCCTTTTTGTGCAGATGAATTATAGTGAAGGTTTATCGATCGTTTGAAGAATAGACTAAAGCCTGCTCTATTTTTCTTGTTCTGTTGCAGGGACCATGCTGATGACCCCGGAGAGAAGAAAAGCTATCTGGGCAATATATGGTGAGACTTCTAAGCTTTTTATATCTGATTATATTTAGCACGGTGTGTTTTCAAACTTAAGAAGCGTTTTCTTGCTCTGATATGTTCGTCCGCAGCTAGCTAGTGTAGCACCGAGGAATCTTGGGATGCCTCTTTATTTTTGACTTTGAAAAATTTTGAAGTACTTTTGAATCTTTTTCTATTTTCTTCCTTTTTTACACAACCAGGAAGAAGTACACCAGATCTTGTGATCTGTTGTAGTTGATGAATTGGCTATTTTAAAACTTAACAATATAACTGCAATTCATGTGAGGGCAACCATTAATATTATTGTGTAATTTAAAAGAATACATGATGTGTATAATGTTAAATACCGAAAAGTGCATAGCATCCAAATTAGAAACTAACATCAATAATAAGTGCAAAAAAACCCGGAAACCGTTATGCTATTATTTCGTGTCAAACCTTTTTTTTCTTCGTCAAGACGTCATTCGCTCACATAGTCTCTCTTCTTGTCGTCATGTACTTAAGGTAAATTGTACGAGCGAGATCAATCAAGGCTTGCCATCTTGCATTTACATTGTTTATTTATTTATTTATCTACTGTTCTCTGTTAAACAGTGTGGTGTAGAAGAACAGATGAGCTTGTTGATGGACCAAATGCATCACATATCACCCCAACAGCCCTGGACAGGTGGGAGGATCGTCTCGAGGATATTTTCAAAGGGCGGCCTTTTGACATGCTCGATGCTGCTTTGTCGGACACTGTTGCCCAGTTCCCTGTTGACATTCAGGTGAACTCTCGAAAATCTTTTAACATTTTTGTCTTAAATATGATTCTGATCTCAGTTCATCATTTTCTGACAAATGAAACATATTTTGTTTTTGGCAGCCATTCAAGGATATGATTGAGGGCATGAGGATGGACCTGTGGAAATCGAGATACAAAAACTTCGACGAGCTGTATTTATATTGTTACTACGTGGCTGGGACCGTGGGCCTAATGAGTGTGCCGATTATGGGCATAGCACCCGAGTCTCAAGCCACAACGGAGAGTGTGTATAGTGCTGCTTTGGCTTTGGGGCTCGCAAATCAGTTGACCAATATACTCAGGGATGTGGGGGAAGAGTAAGTAGTCAAAACTAGTTTTTAGATCAACATTACAAAACAGGTTTTCAATAGGAACCGTTTGATTGGTTTGGTTTTGTAGTGCAAGGCGAGGGAGAATCTATCTGCCCCAGGATGAATTGGCACAGGCCGGGATAACTGAAGACGACATATTTGCCGGGAAAGTGGATGATAAATGGAGGTATTTCATGAAAAAGCAAATTCAGAGGGCAAGGAAGTTCTTTGACGATGCCGAGAGTGGGGTCACTCAACTCAGTTCAGCTAGTAGATGGCCTGTAAGTACATTCTATTTTTCATGTATTTTTTTTAATTGCATTTTACCCCCTCAAACTATATATGAAATCGACATTTACCCCAAACATGGTGAGAAAGCTCTGTGATCATGAACAATGTAAGCACACATTACTAATAAATTTTAGCAAAATTTCAAAATTGGTCCATTATGTTGGCTATTTTCCGAAAATGGTCCATCATATAGGGTGCATCAATAATGGTGCACCATATTGTCACTTTTAATCAAAACTCGTACAAATGCCAACATAGTGGATTAAAAGTGATTAAAAGTTTTAATCACTTTTAGTCCACTATGTTGGCATTTGTACGAGTTTTGATTAAAAGTGACAATATAGTGGACCATTATTGATGACACCCTATATGATGGACCTTTTTCGGAAAATGGTCAACATAGTGGACTAAAAATGAAATTTAGCCAATAAATTTTAGCAATCATCTGGTTTATAGAATAGGCCAATTTTGTACCACAACTTTAAAGTTTTTTTTCTTCCTGACTTTGTTATGTTTATATGTTGACTTGGTTGTTGCAGGTTTGGGCATCCTTACTTTTGTATCGACAAATATTGGACGAGATAGAAGCAAATGATTATGATAATTTCACGAGGAGGGCCTACGTGAGCAAGCCGAAAAAAATCATTTCTTTGCCAATGGCCTACGCAAAGTCTCTTGTTCCGCCTTCATCAAGAACCTCAAACCCTCTTGTAAAGGCATGAATGGAGAACCTTTTTTTTTTTTTTTTCCTAAACTTGTTGCTTCCATTGTTACTGTTCCATTGTTACTGTTCCATTTGTTACTCTATACAATTTTTTTCATGCAATATATGATGCAAAATATGAGTACAAGTTAGCTAAATTATGAGTCCAATTACAATGGACACCTTATGAGACTTGTATGATCAATGGAGTCTTTGAAAGAAAAAGAAAAAACAAACCATATTAAATATGGTTAGATCCATGTTAAATTTCAGGATTCTTTCAATGTATCATTTTGATTATGCCTTAATGAACTCGATTTACATTTAAATAGTTCTATTGAAATCACTTGAAATTGCCATATGGTATGGCAAGAGGTCTAGTGATGCAGTGTGCGTGTACGAGAGGGGTACAAGAAGAGATATATCTTATTAGAATGTTGTATTATTCACCATAAAAGCCGATCAACCAACCCCACAAATATATAGAGCTCGCAAGCCTTTAAATACTTAACTTACCCATTAAGAAAATGATCAAGAAAAATAACACAACAATTCACTTACCAAACTAAATAAAGTAAAATAGGAAACTAAACAAATAAAGTAGAAGTAAATAATAACTAATGACGCCAACGATCTCGCTTCTTCAAGAAAGCAAGTGCGATCTCGTCACCATCATTCTTTCCCGGTTGAGAAAGATTCGCCCTCGAATCTGATTCGATCTCGTTGCGGTCCGAGTTTTCGCCGTGGAAAGGCACGAGGTGCTTAACATTGAAGATGTCCGAGTTGCGAATGTGAGAAGGTAGGCGAAGCCGGTACGCACTGGGATTGATCTTCGCCACGACCTCGACTAGACCGGCCAACAACTTGTTATACTCATGGGCAGAAAAGCGATTCTTGGTTAACACAGCCCACACAAAATCGCCCACCTCAAATTCTATATGTCGCCGACGAGCATTCGCGCGCCGCTTGTAAGCAGGTGTCACCTCCTATAGATGGGCACGAGCAGTGTCGTGCGTCTTACGCATGTCCTCCATAAAGGCTTATGCTCGGTGGCCAGACGGCTCCGTGGAAGGTAAGGCCAATAAATTTGTGGGCCCACGCTACTGAACCGCATATACCACCTGGAAATGAGACAACCTTGTGGCCGACTCACGACTGATTTATGGACAAACTCGGCCTGACTAACCGTCTTAAATACAATTTTCATAACCGTTGAGATCCACCGTTAACATATATATATAAGGAACTTACTTATATAAAGTTTTATTGCAAACTTTATTTTGTTCAAGATATTGATTCTAGTATAATATATTTTTTTTCATCTTATTACGCGATTTTTCTTTAGAATTAACTAATTAATTATAATGACATAATCAAAATACATTGAAATCAAAAAATTGCTTTATTATTATTATTATTATTATTATTATTATTATTATTATTATTATTATTATTATCATCATCATCATCATCAGCAAATAGTTTGGCACAATCTCTCAAATTAATTCAAATCCGAAGAATTGTATTATTTTGTTAGAATATATTTTGTATATATCTTGTAGGATTAAGTTTAGGCTCATTATATTCCTATATATATGTGTACATATTTTTTCCATTTTCTTACATGGTATTAGACTAGGTTTATAGTCCAATATAGGATTAATATTTTTCGCTCGTCTCCGGTCGTCTTCTATTCTCACCTCCCAGACCATCCTCTTCGGCATATTCCGACGAGCCATCGGTCAAAATTTAGGCCCGTTCGGAGGCGCGTGGAACACTCGCCGGAACATTGCGACAGTGCTGGCAGCTTCAGCCGGAGCGTGAGATTCACCCCCAGCTCCAATCGCCGTGATTTTTTAGCCGTCGACTCCTCTCATCGGCGGCTACGTCCTGGTGTGGTCGGTTTTGGTTTTTGTGCCGTTTTTAATTTCGGCATTTTACTGCTATTTTATTTGGTTTGTGATCCAGTTCGTGATTTTCTTTTGTCTTCGTAATGTTGTTGGTTGCTGGTGCTTCTTTATTTTTTGGATATGGATTCTTCTATGGTGGTCTGTCACATTTGCCATGTTCGGGGTCATATTGCTCCATTTTGTCCTACGGTGGTATGCCACATTTGTCATGTTCGGGGTCATATTGCTACGTATTGTCCAGCCAGATCACACCGTTCGAGAGGTTCAATATTCTCTCGACATCATGGGTCTTCCTCTACCGCCACTTCTTCTGTTACAGCGGTTGTCACTACTAAGCCTCAGCATTCGTCTTACACTCTTCAAGACATAGAGGCTATTCTCAAACAGGTTCTTCTTTCCAATTCTTCTATTTCTGCTACCGGAGGTAAATCACATTGGTATTTTGATTCTGGCTGTTGCAATCACATGACCTCTAGCCCGCAACTTTTGTCTTCCTCGTCTTTCGTAACCTCTTTACCTCCTATACATACTGCTAATGGTACTCTTATGAATGTTACTCACACTGGTTTGATTTCTTCCCCTTCCTTGCATCTTCCCGACACATACTGCATTCCTGACTTGGCCTTAAATCTTATCTCTGTTGATCAATTGGTTGACCAAGGTCTTAATGTTATATTTTCATCTTCTGGTGCTCAGGTTCAGGATTCAGGGGACAGCTTCTCGGGCAAGGTCGCAAGACGGGCCGGTTATTTGAGCTTGAGTCACTTCATGTCCCTCGTTCTTACGCATTTTCGGCTTCTGCCACAGATAGTAAGTCTAGTTTCCAGTGGCATTTTCGTCTTCGAATAAAGTTCGTTATTTATATAATAAGGGTCTTTTGGGTTCAGGTCATTTTGAGTCTTTTAGTTGTCTTCATTGCAAACTTGAGAAACAACCGGCTCTTTCTTTTTCTGATAGTTTGTCAACTGCAGATAAACCTTTTGGTTTGGTACATTCTGATATTTGGGGTCCTTCTCCTGTTGCTTCTCTGAGTGGTTTTTGATATTTTGTTATTTTTGTTGATGATTTTTCTCGTTTTACCTGGATCTATTTTCTCAAAAATCGTTCTGAGTTGTCCAACATATATGTTCAATTTGCTAAAATAATTCTTACACAATTTTCTTGTCCTATAAAGGTCTTGCATACTGACAATGCTCTTGAGTACAAAGATTCTGCTTTTTTGAAATTTCTTTCTGAGCAAGGCACCTCCATATACTTCCCAACAAAATGGACGAGCTGAACGTAAGCATCGTCACATTCTTGATACTTTTCGTGCTCTTCTTCTTTCTGCTCAGTGTCCTGATCGTTTTTGGGGTGAGGCAGCCTTGACTGCTGTTTATGTTATCAATCGGTTACCGTCATCAATCATTAGGGATGTCAGTCCTTTTGAGAGGTTGTACGGTCAGTCTCCTGATTATACTCAGTTACGTCCCTTTGGTTGTGCTTGATTTGTTCTCCTTCCGTCCCATGAGCGGACCAAATTAGAACCCCGAGCTCATCTCTGTTGTTTTTTTGGTTATGGGGTAGAACACAAAGGATTTAGGTGTTGGGATCCGATTTCTAATAGGTTGATTATCGCGTCATGTTACCTTTTGGGATCATACTACTTTTTCCTCTTTGTCTAAGTTTCACATTCCGTTTGATTCGGCGTCTCCTTTATTCATGTCTATTACTTCAGATCTTTTTCCAGATACAGATACAGGTCCTGACTCTCAGCTCATTGACACGCCTGTCATGCCTTCGTCTTCTGAAGCGGCTCCACATGTGCATCCTGAACCGACGGTTCGTAATGAGCCCTCTTCTGGTTCTGTACTTTTGCCAGCTATTGATCAGCGATGGTCGACTCGTGTAAGTCGTCCCCCTTCTCACTTACTTGATTATCATTGTTATTCGGCCATATTATCTCATCATGAGCCTAGGTATTTTTGTGAGGCGAGTATTAATCCATTGTGGCAACAAACTATGACTGAGGAATTACAGGCCTTAGACAAGACTCATACTTGGGATCTAGTTGACCTACCTGTTGGCAAGAAACCCATCGGATGCAAATGGGTTTACAAGATCAAAACAAATTCAGATGGGTCTATTGAGCGCTACAAAGCTCGTCTTGTTGCTAAGGGGTACTCACAGGAGTATGGCATAGATTATGAAGAGACATTTGCAATAGTTGCGCGTCTTACTACTGTACGCTGTTTACTTGCAGTTGTTGCAGTTCGTCGATTGTCTCTTTTACAGTTAGATGTTAAGAATGCCTTCTTGCACGGTGCATTATCTGAGGAGGTTTACATGACTCCTCCTCCTGGGTTCTTGTCCTTTGGGAAGGTTTGTCATCTGCGCCGAGCTTTGTATGGCTTGAAACAAGCACCTCGTGCCTGGTACGCCACGTTCAGTTCTGCATTGTTTCAGTTTGTTTTCACTACGAGTGATCACGATTCTGCCCTATTTCTTCGGTGCTCTTCATCTGAGATCATTGTTTTGTTGCTCTATGTTGATGATATGATCATCACGGGGGATGATGTTTCGGGTATTTCCGACTTACAGGATTATCTTCGACAGCATTTTGAGATGAAGAGTTTGGGTCGTCTTCGCTATTTTCTGGGTCTTGAGATTTATGATTCCTCTGATGGCTTCTATTTGTCTCAAGCCAAGTATGCCTCTGATATTCTTGCTCGGGCCGGTCTCACTGATTGCCAGACCGCTTCCACACCTCTTTATTATGATATTCGTTTTACTCCATTGGATGGTTCTCTTCTTGAGGATCCTACGTTATATCGCCAGCTCATTGGGAGTTTGATATATTTGACTGTCACTCGGCCTGATATAGCTCATGTTGTTCATATTGTGAGTCAGTTTATGGCTGCTCCGAGAACCACGCATCATTCTGCTGTGTTGCACATCCTTCGCTATGTGAAGGGCACCTTATTGCATGGTTTACATTTCTCGGCCAGTTCTTCCTTGTCCCTTAGCGGCTACTCTGATGCAGATTGGGCTGGAGATCCTACCAATCGTCGCTCCACTACCGGGTATTGCTTCTTCTTAGATGATTCACTTGTCTCTTGGCGCAGTAAGAAGCAAACCTTGGTTTCCCGTTCGAGTGCCGAGTCTGAGTATCGTGCTCTTGCTGATTCCACCGCAGAGCTATTATGGTTGCGTCGATTACTTGCTGATCTTGATGTCCCTCAGTCATCCTCTACTGCTCTTCATTGTGATAGCCAGAGCGCTGTCAAGATGTCTCATAATGATACGTTTCATGAGCGTACCAAACATATTGAGATTGATTGTCATTTTATTCGCCAGCATGTTACCCATGGGACTGTACGACTTGTTTCCGTCTCCTCTTCGGATCAGATAGCGGATGTCTTCACGAAGTCTATCCTTCCCGGTCGCTTTTGTTTACTTCTTAGCAAACTCAAGTTGATATCTACTATACCACCTTGAGTTTGAGGGGGGGTGTTAGAATATATTTTGTATATATGGTTATAATATATTTTGTATATATCTTGTAAGATTAGGTTTAGGCTCATTATGTTCTTATATATATGTGTACATGTCTTGTGAATAATATAGAACATATATTTTTTCCACTTTCTTACATATTTATTATAATTTATTTATTAAGTCAAAAATCCGAAGAATTGTATTATTTATTAAGTCAAAAATTCTATGGAGCCATTGGATGATTTTCTTATGGAGCCATCGATCAGTTAATTAATGTATTGACACCTGTCCAAAGTATATTTATTGGAGGACTTGTGTCAATACACTATTTGTGAATAACTATGGATGACTCCATAAGCCGTGTCATCCGATAGCTCCGTAGCAAAATTGATCCAATGATATATGGATTACTCTATTCTATTGTCACATGACCTAAAAAATCAGATGCGGCATTTAAAATATGTATAAGTCTTTCTAGATGGAGAAAGACTTCTAAACATCTTCTAATCAATATTAAATTATTTATTTTAGATTTTTCTCTCTACCAACCAATTATTATCTTACATGTGTCAAATTATTCTTCAATTGACATTAACTTTCGGTGATAAAATATTTTTATTTCTTTTCTCCGCACCATACATCTCAAAATAGACATTGCTGAATCACGGATGTGGATTCGATCTTCACTCATCGCTCTATATAATTCTTAAAAAAAAAGTACCATCTCTCCATATAATTCTCATAAAAAATTGTTAAAGAGTATAATATAAGAATTTATTTTATTTTATTCCTTTTTATGTAAAGGTTACATAAATCTCTGCATTTAGCAAACATTATCAGTACACCTAATTTATTTTGTATTATATGAGACAACCTAACTTTATTTATTTATTTATTTATTTATTTATTTTCATTTTTTGTCACAACACTACACCCAACAGGTGAGTAGAAGTCATGCAACCACCAGTACAGTGGACTTAAAAAAAAAGTAGCCCATAAATAGTCTCTGTTCTTAAGCTAAAATCAGTCAAGCTGACAAAAATGGTGGTTAAAGTGTATGGCCCGGCCTATGCAGCTTGCCCGCAAAGGGTTTTGGCTTGTCTTCTCGAGCTCGACTTGGAATTTGAGCTAATTCCACTCGATCTCGAATCCGGAGAACAGAAAAAACCCGATTTCCTACTAAGACAGGTGACTATATATAGAGTTTTTTCTCTTATCCATGTTATTTCTAATTTTGTGTGCCAATTCGTATGTTTTTATAACAAGCACGGGTATCCTAATAGTTAGGCAGATCGATACATCATTCCATATATATTAATTAAGAACGTGCTGAGCATATGTGGCAGACTCGCATGCTTCGAGATTCTATGTGGCAAACTTACATGCTTCGTCATTAGGCTTCGTAATTTATGTGGTTTGTATATATTAACCATCTTATTAATGTCACTAATTTGCAGCCCTTTGGTCAAGTTCCAGCCATAGAGGATGGTGATTTTAGACTTTTCGGTAAATGATTAGTACAGTTTTCTAGTTGGCAAAATTGTAATTTTAGTCATGTTGGTTTGATACAGTGGCATTTTTAGTCTTAAAAATTGAACATTTCTACTATTTGGTCCTATGATTTTAAAATTCAATACAATTTCAGTTCTTTGGGATTGAAAATGAAACAAAATTTAGATTTACAAGACTTAAGTTGAATAAAAAATCTTTTGAATGATTTTTAATTAGCAATTTAAGTCATGTAAATTTGAATTTTGTTACAATTGATTGAAATTGCAGCAAAATACTAAATTATAAGATCAAAAGACAAAAAATGAAATTGTGGGACTAAAAATGCTACAGCATTAAACCAAGGACTAAAAATGCAATTTTATCTTTCTTAACTTCCAATAACTTTAATAATAATGTTTTATTGATGTCTACTATTTTCCTCTGTATTTTATTTTATTTTTTTTTGAAAAAATTTGAGGACAGAATCTAGGGCAATAATCAGGTACTACGCAGCAAAATGCGCAAGTGATGGTGGAACAAACCTTATGGGAAACACATTGGAGGAGACTGCCCTAGTGGACCAATGGCTCGAAATAGAAGTCAACAACTACAATCCCCTAATTTACACAATGGTCCTCCAACTTTTGGTTTTGCCTCGCATGGGCCAAAAGGGCAACATGGAATTAGTCCGCGAATGCAGGGGCAAATTGGAGAGAGTACTCGACGTGTACGAGGAGAGGTTGTCGAGGAGCAAGTACTTGGCTGGGGACAGGTTCACCCTAGCCGACCTGAGCCACTTGCCCAACACGAGGTTCTTGATGGAAGAAGGAGGAATGAAGGATTTGATCCAAGGGAGGAAAAACGTGTATTCGTGGTGGCTCGATATTTCTAATCGACTATCTTGGAGGAAAGTGAAGGAGCTCATTGAATGAAGAAAAGTCTATATGCAATGTTTTTTTTTAAGGGATGAGTTTGAAAAATCATTTATTTTGAGAATAAAAGTTGAAGTTTTTTCGACCGTTTAACAATGTAGTCCGAGTTTAATTTTGATGGATATGTTACGGTCCTGTTACGGAGCCATTGTATTCGAGTTTGTAACCGTTACATGAACTATCTCTGACCGTTACGTGATGATCTAACGGTTATAAATCCCGACGGAATGGTTCCGTAACGGGACCGTAGCATTTCCCATATATATATATATATATATAGGGAAAAAATCTTTTTCATCCCAATACAAAAACACATTAAGTTTTTCACACCGCCCAATAAAAAGCTAAGTTTTTCACCCCAGAAAATGCGAAGGTTATGAAAATTGTCGCATAATCATTGCATAACTGTCGCATATGCGAAGGTTATGCGAAAAATTGTGGCATATCATTTGCATAATTGTTGCATATTTATCGCACAATGTCTTCGCACTTTAACTTTTTTCACCCTAGAAAGTGCGAAAGGATATGCGAATGTCTTCGCATTTTTAACTTTCTCACAATGTCATCGTGCAATTGTCGCATATTCATCGCACAATGTCTTTCGCACTTTCTGGGGTAAAAAACTTAGTTTTTTATTGGGCAGTGTGAAAACTTAACAAGATTTCAAAATGGGTGAAAATAGTTATTTTCACTATATATATATAT